CAGTCACACAAGTATGACCCGCGCTTGCGTATCACATGGGTCACAGTCCCCTCGAAGACTATCAAACGAAGCAAAACGCAGGCTCGTTGTGCTACCCTGACAAACCTTCCATGCGGACCAAGTAAGACAGTTACTACACGTACGAAGAAGCACTGAACGGTCTTTTGACCACGTACATGCGTCTACTTCACTCTCCCCCTTCCCCATACCTTGGTGACTGAAACCAATAGAGCATCGAGTTAACCACGCGAGAAGATGGCGGTCGCTAACCATTTGCTTCCTCGACACAGATTCCGCGTGCATCATATCGGGGACCCACCTAGAATGCTCGCCGGATGCACACCCAACTCCACTAAAAGTGGAGTCTCCTTGCTATCGCTAATCCACGCTTCAACGCAAGCTGACAAGGGCTGAACTCAAATAGACCGCGCGTCGTAAGCACCGGGTGGCTTGAGGTCATCCCAGACTATCACTAGTTCTGGATGTGATCATATCCTATTAGGCTGTGGATTTTTACTGAACTGTACCTGGAGGTGCATCAAACGTCACCTTAGTTTAGCGACCGAGAATCTGTCCTAGCCGTTGATAATGCAAACCTGCCAGTACAACCTGCGCACCAAATGTTCACCTTCTTATCCTAAGTATACCGGATTTCGGTGGAATAGTCTCTTGACCGCCAAGCACGACGCGGCAGCTTATCGTTGTGGCACAACCACTCGTTAAAATGCCAGATGCTGAATAGCAGAGGTGCGAGTGCATCCGCCGAATTCCACACAAAGATCCCTGCTGACGCCGAGCACACCCTTTATTATGCGCAAGATTAAAGGGAGTCTTCGAGTTGACAAAAAGGTTTGATTGACCCAGATGACACAAGAAATGGGCGGGGAATGTGCGACGAGCAATTACTGCAATCCAGTAAAGAATTTCTCTGCATACTTGCCAAACTCAATTCACTCATTGGGTTACGGTTGAACCGGATCCCACGAAGCAAGTGAACATGGGGGACGCAACGGAAGCTACGGGGGAATTGTCAGGTTGTTTCCCAAAGACATTAGCGTTCGCCAGAGTCTGCTGATATTCAGCAAAGCAAATATTCCCACTGGCGTGATCAAATCAAGACCAAATGAGTGTTGGGTTAATAATTCTTTTCGAGTAAACAACTCTCATCGGACCCAAACGTTTACATGGTAGAGATTAGGTGTTGTTAGCGTCAAATCGGGCTGAAAATTTATTTCTGATTTGTCAGTCGTGTTAGTTCAGGGTTAGGCTAGGGAAACGTAGTGCATAGAAGTTCAGATGGCAATCAAATGATACTCGTGCGCCTGTGATGCACGATACGTGGGTCGCACTACGATTACTGCTTACTGGTTGGAAGCAGCAAGTAGAGTTTGCTCTGTGTAGCTGCATCTAATGTCATTCAGGGACAAAGACCCGTTATGTTGTGTTGCGCTCAATTTATTTTGCGTCGGTAAAGTGGCTGTCTAGGAACTTCTTAAATTCCGACACTGACTTTGCCTCAACTACTTGCTGCGGAAGGTCGTTCCATACATTCACCACTCCGCGTTCGAAACAGAGTTGGTGAATAATCCGCTTCCAATCCGGTACGACAAGCTTGTACCGGTGTCCTCGTGTGCTGCTTGGTGTGCGCAGATGAAGCAGCGGTCTCAACATGGGGTACTCTCTCAGATGTAATATCAGCTGCGTTATGGTGAGGTCAACCCGCATTCGACGATAAACTAATGTGTACAGCCCTATCTCAGAGTATTCGCGAGCACATTACGGTCTGGTTCTGCCAAGGTGAGATGAGATCTTCAAACAGCTCTAGTATGTCACACCTCCTTGATTTTGGCCACACACACACAGCCTATGGGAATGACTTCAAAGTCATATACTCACTACCTAAACGTTTCATGCAAGACTTCCCCCGCAAGCAGCTCCTATCCATTGTTGAGGCTATCTATGTACATCCGCTTTGGCATAACAAAAGCGGTACATGCGTCCGTTGCTACTTCGTTGGCCAACGGACAATGTTACCAAACCATGTGACTGCCATCTGAGCTACTAGCTGGCACTGTTCTTTGTTGCTTTGCTTACCATCTATAGCCTAACCCTGAGCTATCATCGACTGACAACTCAGAAATAAATTTTCAGTTTGATTTGACGCCAACAACACCTAAGCTCAACCATGTACACGTTTGTGTTTGATGAGAGTACTCGATTTAATCACTTGATTTAATCACACAAATGGGAATGTTTGTCAGAGTTATTCCGCTCTCCAGTTTGTGCCCAATGTTGCCGTAAACTCCATTATAGTATGGTCGCATGTGAACTTCCACGATAGTGGTATTGGGATCCTACTCGGGGAGAATTGATTTGGATGGACTAAGCGGTTGAAACCGTTTTGCTTTTAAACATTCTCGACCCTAGACGAAAGCCGTAGAGTGGCACGCACTTTGTAGTTGTACATTTAGAAGTCATATTGCACGGTCATCAACTACTTGATTACACCCTGAGCCTTAACAAGGAGGAACTGGAATAGCTGGTCAATTCCTCTCTCTCGGTAGCCGAATTTGAGGAGATGGAGGCCTTGACTACTTGATTGAGGCAGATTTCCAGCGCTATCAAAGGCGACATTTACAGGACCGTGGTAAAAGGTGTTCTCCTCCATGACCGTATAGTCAGGCTCACATGGTGTGAAGAGCGCAAGCGCCGTCAAGTCGTTAGCCGCGGCTGATTGTAGAGCATCACTCGTGCGGGGTGACACCAGAGGGTTCGAAACGTTACGGTGCATAAACAGCGTTGCGTCTATAAGAAAAGTACGTGGAATGGGCAGTACACAAACTTCTACAGCTTTGTGCCACTTAGGTTTAAACGGAACTTGATAAATACCCTAGTGAGCCATGGTGAAGGTATCTTCTTGAACGATACGCTTCCGAAGGAATTGGAGTGCATTCGCTTAGTGCTAAGGGAGAACGGCTATCCGGAAAGCTTCATCAGAGTCAACATGAAACATAAGAAGAAAAAGTCTGTAGTTTTGACAGTAGACCGTACAAGGGTGAGATTGCGACGAAACTTCTATTTCGTCGTCTTTCATTTGCACTCAGACGCACCTATCCAGCAGCGCAGATGCAAATCCAGTTCACTAGCATTCCGATGGTGAGACTAAAATCAAAATATAAGAGGCCTGTCCACAGCAACTCAATGTGTATCTACTCATTTTCATGCTACTGTGAGCAGAATACATTGGTCGTACAACACGGCGTCTATCTGAGCAAATGAAGGAACACCCCCCGGTCGGGCTTAGAACTGGAAGTAGAAACACAGCCAACTCTTCAAGAGCCGCGCACCTACCCGATACACGACACGCCACAAAGTTCACTGATTCATTCAACATTATCTATCAGGCCCCAGAGAACCGCTCGAACTACGTCCGTAAGGGACTACTAGAAGCCGCTGAAGCAATTGCGATCCGGCTGTAGGAACTGGAGCTATTTGTTTAGAAGCAGCCAGCTAAAGGCTTGGGACTACCCTGGCCCAAACTGCCGGTGACCTCCGACTCACGAGGTCACGAGCGGTCACTTGTCGTGACTTAACAGACAGCAGTGTCAGCATCCAATTAACTCGCTCTAGGAGTAACGACTTGTAATGTCTGTCTGCACATTTTGATTTGCATATAATTGTATAAGCCTGAAGATGAATTATCGAAAACAAATGTTCGCTTACCCTGACTTCTGAGCACAAATAAGCGCTATGTGGTGATCGGCAAGCCAAATCCTCAGCATAAGTTAGGATTGGATAAATTGCGTCAGGTTCAGTGAGCGCTGGATACGTCTACTCATCGTAATGCAAGAGAGTGCAAGGCCTGTTGACGGAAGTGCGTCGATCGTTTACCTGGCAGCGTGAACTGAGGTCGCTGGCGACCAAACTGGTTGCTGTTGGTTCATCTTCTTGACTTGAGTCCACGCTACGCAGCCTATGCTTGGCTCGAGAGTTTACAGGACATGGCTGGCAGCCGTAACCAACGACGGGTGTTATAGCCTTGGTAGCCGGATTGTCTGTTTAAAGTGTGCCCGATGCGGAATTACTTATATGGGGTACTGGCTGCTTACCAAGTAAGACAGTAAAATCCGCAAGTAGGCTGTCTTCTAGACGCAAGGTTGGTGCAATAAGCAACTGTATGTGGCCGAACGGTATCCATAGGGCATAGTTGTCTTCATCATAAATGCCTGCTTAAGACAGAACCTCCCTGATTGGTAGGAGTCGTATTGCGTGGCAACTGAGTCGCACAAAAGGCTGTCATTGCTTCGTTTGCCTGTTGATCAGGTGTCGTGGAATTCATTTTAGAAAGTAATGAAGTGCAGGATTTGGACTAAATTCTCTCACGAGAGTCGTCATAGGCAGACCCATTCAGACAACCAATGTATATCTGAGATAGCACCGTACGGTCGTTACATCCTGTGGAGAATCATCAGTACCGCATTCCAATTGCCCCCAATGAGGCCATAACTTTGGAATCTACGTTTACGTGTCTGCGGCTAAAACCACCGGGATGAGCGACAGCCACCGTGACCTCGCGGAAGTTGTTGTCGAGTTATTTGAAATAGTCACTGTGTGTTTGAATTGCGACGCGCCATCACAATTTGAACCCCCATTCAGCGCGAAGCAAAGTGTAGTTGTCTATACATTACGTTTTCATCCATCACTGTGTATTGAGTGCCGAAGAAGATGACAGCTGGGTATTCCCGGGGAGCCGCTACAGAAAGACATGGATTGGAAATGACGTGACAAGCAGAAAACCAAAGAACAACTGTTGACCAAATCGTGGGATGGGACCTTTCTGCACAGCATTCAATCCGAATCACCGGTCCCACTGTGACACCCTCCACCGGTATGGTCGCAAACTGACATGGTTAGGGCAGTTTTACAAGGGTGAAAAGTTGCTTAAAAAACACGCGAAACTTCCCACCGCCAGCCACCCCCGCCCACCCGATCCGACTTACCTTGTCCAGCCTGGGTACAATCCACGGTGAAATAAGTTGGCTCTCCGCGTACCACACTCTCCACGCCGGGTCCGAACACCCGCACTTTGCCCGGTTGGCTTGGTTCGGCCACGTCAACCTGGAGAACAGGAAGTTAGTGAACCAGATGAATTCAGGGCGAGGTTGTGTGTTGTGCGCGTAGTCATAGTGACGAGGCGTGTTGTGCATCAGCTGAAAATGTTCACCCCCACAACGAGGTGTGATGAAGTGTGTCGTCCAAGCCTTATTTTGTCCTTAGAGTGTTTATACCTCACATTGAAGATGTTTTGAGAGGCACAATGTGTTGATGCATAGTGGTACCGCTAATTCTTTATCTCAGACGTGAGAGCTGTTCGATTTCAGGTAGGATGATTGGCGACGACACGTGGCGTAACAGCCGCCCCGGTAATACCCGTGGGCCATACACATTTGTTCCGAGTGAACCGGTTCAACTAACCAGTCAAACATCCAAAACTCTAGGTCACATATGCCTAAGTGAAGAGACAAGGTGGCTGCCCATGTGACTTATCTCACACTAGGTAGCACAGTTCGAATGTCAGTTGTAATAGAAACTCAGAATGGAAGTGGTTACTTCGCCAGTAATTAAGCAGATGAATGTCAATATGTTAGCCACACCAATGAACCAAACAACAATGAGGGTGTCACACTCACTCTGAAGGGACTGCGTGGTACGTTGACCGTTCCGTAGGACACGAGGACCGTGTGTTTTCTTGGGACTTTTGGGGTGTAACTGCACGTATAGGTTCCGTCCCCATTGTCTCGCACCTTCAGCGCCACAGGCTCCCCCTCGTTATCCCGGCATTCCACCGTTAGGGGAGCCGGACCACCAGCATCTCTAATGTCCACAGTGAATTCAGTTGGCTGTCCTGCCACATTGCCCGTTGGCATTACACCGGGTCCATGAACTTTCACCTAAAACACAGTATACAGAAAACAGCTCATTCACATGATGTTTCGCGAAAGACGAGGAAGACTGCGGTGAACGGGGTGAAGCACCGCTTTAACCAACTCACACGATCGGGATCACACTTGCCCAAATCAGGCTCAATGGGAACCATGAAGGGGGATTTCGGTATGTTCTCATCATTGCACAGAATATGCACAGCGTATTCGCCCGGCACAGTTGGCCAATATGCCACGGTGGCTGAACCGTCCCCATTGTCTGTACAATCGATTCGAGCCTCACTTGGGCCTTCGATGGAAAAGCCTGTTATATGCAAATGATATGAAATAATCTCCGATTAGTGATCATGAAGCGAGCATACATTGCTACAAGTTATCACAGGCACAGAATAAGCTAACTCTACGCGACTATACCCTCAAGATGATGTTGTCGTTCATGACTGGGTTCTTGTCTGAACTTGTGCGCCCAAAGTATCGCATTACGAAGGTCCGGACGAATAGTTCTTAGGAAAACAAAAGAAAAGTTGAATACCGACCGAAAATTTATTACTAACGAACAGAAGTGTCTGTTATATTGTGTATAAATGTCAGCCACCGGTCCAATGTGGCTCATTTACACTGGCCAGTTCAAACTCTTCGTCTTTTACTCCCACCTGAGTTTAGGAGGACGCACACACAGTTCACTCGTTGCAGCTCCTTCCAGTAGATACGTGCCTTGACCAGGGCCGTGATGAGCTCCGTTCATGATGTGCCGAACCTGTACAGAACCTATCGATCCAGTCCATACGGTTATTATCAGCCTGTGAGAGCGGCAATTTATTGGAGAGATTTCGGCGTTGCTGTCGCCTAACACGGAAGCCACACAACCGGTTTCGCCTTCGGTTGGGATCACCAGACACAGATGGCCTGGGGTGGGAGTGGAACTCGGGACCTAATGGTAAACGGCTGACGTCTTGTTCACGAGAACACTGAAATTCGCGATCAACGCAACTAGTTGACTTTACGTCCGCCGGCCCCGATTCTGTTCCGTTTGATCAGTCCATTGTCAGTCTTCCCACATACCGTGTAACAAAATATGGTTGTACACTGTGACAATTGACTGCAGTGTAGATTGACGGTACAAGCTGGGGGAATCCAGATGTAGGTCTTCCATAAGACGTTATTCTAAATAAAGCGGCTCCCACCGGATGGAATATTTCCAATGCGTTTATAATCGCTACAACATCACGGATATTACAACATGGTGTGTCTTCGTCTGGAAGATCACTGGACGTTGATTTGTGCCGCAGCCTTCATATATTCTGATTACGGTGAATAAAACACATTCCCGGGAGCTCGCCTCGAAAATAAAGGACAGTCCAAGTTAAAGAGTGACAATGCCACGTAGCTGGGAAAACATGCCTTCCAAACTGAATCGTTTGTAGATAGTACCAGCTATTCTGTTTTTAATCATCATAGTATAGTTAAGATTGCCCTATGCAGGGGCTGATGTTCCATTCATGATGCTTCTTCATCGCTGTTGGGCTAAACCAACTTACACTTAAACTAAGTCTTTTTAAGCTGGATAAATTTCCCTCCACATTATTTGGTTTGTTCTGCGTACTTGATAATCTTCTCCCAACTTACACACGTCGCTCATGCAAATTGTGGTAAACTTGCGTAATTGTATCGCGTGGTATTTGTTAAATAACTCGGACATTTTGTACTTACTGCGGATTCACTAATAATCAATTGCTCCCATATACCCATTTAGCCAGTATTTATGTCGTCACATGCGTTTACTTTATTCGATATCGGCATTTTGAATGACTGGCTGTTGTTTGACATCCCACGTGTGGCTGCGCTTGATGTGCATGTTGACAAGGTGCCTACCTGTCTATTACCCACTACCTCATTCATAGTGGCTCCAGGAGACAGTTGGTAGTTGCTGGAGAGGACGGGGTGCACGGTCCTTGTGGCCGTGTTAGGATAAAACAGTGGTTCCATGCACTCAGTGTGGAGCGGACTACGGTCCAGCCACCGCCTTGTGTGCACTTGATTCCCCAAATACTGCGTGCTTATGTTTGTCTGTGAAGGAGTGTGGGCCGGCTCCGTTGATGAAACGTGGTTCCCATCCACATGCCTCCCGGTCTTATTCCTTCGGGTTTACACTGAATATGGTGTGTGTGGATGGAGCTGTGGGTGGTGCAGCACAAGCATCCCATGGTCTTTCTGTAGGCGCTGGCGTCCTGTGGCTGGTCACAGTGACAGGCAAATCCGAAACCGGATGCCGCCAACCTTAGTTAAGATAGAGTGCAGCTGCAGTGGTGATCGGCTGACAGAACCACGCTATTCCCTCGTGGTTTGTTTTGGACTGCCCGCTATGTGTCTTGGGTTGCGACACGCAATCTCAACTGTGGCGTCGGTTGGCTTTGAAGTCAGCCTCTACCAATACGATTACTGGGACCGTCACCGAAGTGGACAGGTTTCGGTATAGCTCTCTCCCATCTCTACACTTCACGAACGAGGGAGCTCAATGCACTAGTGATCATGGCGATAGCCGCCAACCACTATGTGCCGAGTTCTATTCTTAACTCAGGCAATCTCTATGTGATGAGCCTAAATGTGGACGAAACCGTCGGTCCTGGAGCGCAAAGATGGGAGAGAGCAACGCCAAAACTCTCCGGCCGAGTTGGCGTATTCTGCCATACGATGAGTAGCCGTTAGCAAGGCTAACCGTGGCTATGAAGTCAGCCCTATACTTTACACGGTAGGAACGTGCATGGTGATGGATAATGAAGGTTACGGCGCAGTCAGTGGTCAGTTATTGTGGTCCGCCTCCATCACCCATGGGTTAGCAACTTCAAACACAGTCTCGCAGTAGAACTCGACGAGGACGCAGGTCAATAGCGAGGGCAAGTGGGATCGAATGGCCGTCCGGTGAGTTTCTGAAGTGAAATAGTTGTCCGACTGAATGAATTCGGTGGCAATGAACTCTTCCAGACCCATGAGTCTTAGTGAAATGAGAAGCGCCGTACCACACACACTAGGTTTGCCAAGCCATGTCGCTCAATGTGCCAGAGTGATAGCGGGTTGCACAAGAGTTCTCCGCCTTCTCTCCCCAGTTTTACATCTTTTGATCATTGCTATCTTTTCCACTACCTAGTGCCACTTCCGATTCTGAAGAGTAGTCACTTATTAGCCCTACATTTGTGTTCCGAATTCCTTCCCTTGTTGTGAATATATTTCAACTAAGCCAGCGAACCTATCCACCGGAAACAGGGTCAGATCTTCAAAACAATCCAATGCGGACAGCCAAGTACTGTTTTTGTTGCGAACAAATTCCCATTTTTACGGTTTACCTTTGTACTCATCACGCATATCCTCCAACATGCTCACAAAATTGCTGCATCTTTCTGTTTACTCATTAATTACACGTTTCTCGATACGACGGACCAATGTACAGTCAGTGCATGCAAACTGACATTTTAGTCAGCTCCCATTGAAAGCCGAGTGGGCACGTAACTACCTAAATGAATTTTTTCGGAATCTTCCTAACGAACCGACTGGTATTTTAATACCTTTCTTCCTTACCTCTCCAGCCAATCTCTCGATTAACTGCTAGATTAATTCTGTGCTACTGTTGGCTTCGTTTTGTATACAGCGAATGGACCTCATCAAAAGATACGCATCTTAATGTGTAGAGAAAGATACCATACAATTTGGATATAAAGCCCTGCCGCCTTTCCAGGACATAGCATTGATATACCTCGTGCTGAGGCTAATGTTGCTTTACCGCAATTCGACTACATCGACTTGCACTTATACTATATATTCTTAATCTGCATAAAAAGTATTCCACTTTATTTGATTTTCTCAGTTCTGCTACTCTGCTGTACATACCATGTCAATTTTGCGTGTTTAGTTTCCTTTAAATTCTATGTTGGTTGTTTGACATCCCCGGTGTAGCTGTGCTCGATATGAATGTTGACAAGCTGCCTACCTATCTAACACCCTCCACCTCGATTACTGGCTCCTAGCTGACTGTTAATCTGTGCTGGAGGGGACGGGGTATATGACCCTATGGCTGTGCTAGGCTAAAACAGTGGTTCTATCCAGTGCGGAGCGGACTACGGCTCAGCCAACGTCTTGTGTCCATCGCTACGCATGATTCCACCCAGAGATAGAAAGGAGTTCTGCCACTGCATGAGCAGTCTTTCCTTCGAGTTTCCACTGGATATGGGGTGTGTGGTTGGCACAGGCATCCTGTAGTTGTCCTATGAAGACCGCAGTGACAGGAAAATCCGGAATCAAATGCCGCAAACCGTAGCACAATCATTAGTTCATTTCACTATTCAAAGATAATAAAGATGTCTTACTATCTGATACCAACCTCTCGATGCAGCGATAGGTATGTAATGCTGACGGATTGGGAAATTGGATCAAAAGACATGCAGTTTCAATTCCATGTAACTATATACCGACAAATAAATGGCGTCGCAATAGGCAGTCCACTTGGGCCGGCCATAACTAATATTTTTGTGGACCACTTGGAAACCACCAAACTTTGTTCTTTTGTACAAAATGTGCACTTCTACAGCACTTTTATAGCCATAGTTAAAAGTCGGTTGGATGACACACTCCGCCACTTACATTTTGTTACTTGACGCTACTTTCCATCCTACTCGCGGGAAATACCTTGGATGTATATATTTTTGTCTATTCAAGCTAAGGAAACACTCGGAGTGCATTGCTGCTGCATTACATACGATAAGTGCATTCTTTTGACAGTAGAACTGCTAATTGCATTGGTTCATTAGCGTTTTTCGATAACCCAGCAGACTATTCAACGGGGTTTGGAAAGCAGTGCTTCTTAACTCGTATAAAATCATTGTTCATTGAAAATGTTTTGGAAAAGTGGTAACTCGGGTTGCTAATTCAGTTGCTCAGTCGTTCGCCGAACTTGGAAATTTGTTCGCAAACATTTCACCGACATACGAAGTGGCATCATCAGTGCGTCTCGCTGATTGAATTGTCGATCCGTGATCGGCGTGCAGGTGACTTTTCGAAAGTGACGGCTTCGATCTGCGTCCCGTGCTCTCTACCCATATCCCCGCGGCGGAACTCGTCACTCTGGTCGTTCCTATTCAAGCGGTGTCTCGTAATTTCTCTAAGTTTTTTCCATCGGAGGGGCTGGTAATCTGGGTCAATGTCGATATGTATGTTAATTGAGTCCTTGGCTGGATCTCAGCAACAACAACATCAACACGAATACAAAAAGCATGCAAAAGACACTATGCATCAGCGCTAGTCTCAGCACACGTG